AAGACTCCCTTATCTTTTAACAATATTTCATCTGAAGCAGAGAGTTTATGGCTCATATCGATAGGAGTAGCAACTGGTCTAGCACCCATCTTCCCTATTTCAGAGAGCAAATCAAGAACATACTTTCGCTGAGAGATAACAATCTCATCCTTGGATCTACCAACTTTTATGCCAAAAAAGTATCCCAAATCTTTGTTCTCAAACTCTGTATGAAGGAAAGATTTGAGATCATTAATCCCTGATACATCATTACCAATCACAACAATATCATCAATATACACAATCAGGTAAACAGCCAAGGATCCTCTCCTCTTCACAAAGAGGGTATGATCAGATTGTGTCTGTACATAGCCAAAGCTAATAAGGGCAGCCCTAAACCTTTCAAACCATGCTCTAGAGGACTGTTTGAATCCATAAAAATATCTCTTCAGCCTGCAGACCTTTCCTTTCATATCTGTTTCATGCATCCCTAGAGGAAGAGACATATAGACCTCCTCATGTAACTCTCCATTCAGAAATGCATTCTTTACATCCAGTTGATAAAGTGGCCAGTCTGAGTGTGCAGCAAAAGATAGTAGAACTCTCACAGAAGTCATCTTGGCAACAGGGGCAAAGGTCTCCAGATAATYAATCCCATATKTCTRTGTATAGCCTTTTGCAACCAGCCTAGCCTTGTACCTTTCAATGGTGCCATCAACATGATATTTGATAGTAAAAACCCACTTACAGCCTATTGAATCCTTTCCTTCAGGCAAATCAACCACTTCCCAAGTGTCATTCTTGTGCAGGGCATCAATTTCTGTTCTCATAGCATCCCTCCATTCTGAAATATTAAGAGCTTCTGACACAGACCTGGGAATTGGGTTAAAAGCAACAGAAGAAAGGTAGGCAAAATATGAAGGAGAGAGCAAACTATAAGAAAGGTGTTTGGAAATGCAATGTACAGTATACTTCCTTTTTCCTTTCCTAATAGCGATGGGGCTATCAAGGTCTGGGAAGGATGGCTCCAAAGGGGCTGTAACAGTACCTGTTGTCTCATCTGTAACTGGAAGTGCATGAGGCTCATGTGTTATGGGGGAAACAATCTGCTCATTTCTGGTTATCGGCCGTTGGTACAACCTGGGATTAAAAAGAGGGCAAGGAGGTAAAGGAGGAGGAATAGGAACACTAGAATGAGAGTGAAATGACTGATCCTCCCTTGACTCATTTGAAAGAGGAAAAGACTCGGCAAAAGACTCAACTGGGACAGGAAGAGGAAGAGCAAACACCTGTGACAAATCCTCCCCCTTTTTTTCAACGTCTCTCTAGAGAAGAACCATAAAAGGAAGAAAGTTCATCAAATGTGACATCCATTGAGACATACCGAGTGTCAGTCTTCGGATCAAAACAACAGTAACCCTTCTGTGTGGGGGAATAACCAAGGAAGATACACTTGTGGGCTTTTGGTTCAAATTTATGTCTCTGGACAATTGGGATATGTACATAACAAGTGCAGCCAAAGACACAAAGAGGAATAGGAAAAAAATCATTGTCTGGATGAAGAAGACTGAAGGGAGACTTAAACCCTAAAAACCTGGATGGCATACGGTTTATAAGGTAGGTAGCAGTGAGAACAACATCACCCCAAAATTTTGTAGGGACWTGWGAGGCRAATAGAATACTTYTTRCAACTTCAACRATATGTCTATTTTTTCTTTCAGCAACTCCATTATGTTCTGGGTCCTAACACAGGAGCTTTGATGAGTAATCCCTAAATCAGTGAGATAGCAGGTCAGGTTTTTCTCAAAATATTATTTTGCATTGTCGGATCTGAAAATTTTAATTTTGGTATCAAGCTGGTTAGGACAAATTCATGGAATTGCCTCGCAAGTCTGGGAACTTCATCATGGGATTTCATCAAAAATATCCAAGTGAACCGAAAAAAGTCATCAATGAACAAGATAAAATATTTGTAGCCACCCATAGAAGGTAAGTGGTAAGGCCCCCACACATCAAAGTGCACAATATTAAAAGGAGAAAAATATCTTTTATTACTCAGAGGATAATTGTTTCTACAATGTTTTGACAGTTCACAAGACTCACAATTAAGACTAGACAAACTAATTCCCTTAAACAGTTCTGGGAATAAATGACTTAATGCAGAAAAAGAAAGATGACCCAAACGAAAATGACATAACATGACTCGACTGATGGAMTCTGTAGATGTAGACCCAAAAGCAGTTTTTCCAGGTTGTTCATGGCACTGTCCAAGAGTATCCAGCAGATATATTTCATTCGCCTCACGACCACTCCCAATCACCTTCTGAGAATCCAGATCTTAAAAAACACAGTAGGAAGGGAAGAAGGTTACACAACAGTTTAATGACTTAGTTAGGCTACTTATAGATAACAAGTTTGTATTTAGTCTGGGTACATGAAAAGCAGAAGGAAGAACCAAGGAGTTTGTAGCCTTGATGGTTCCCTTGCCGGAGATAGGAGCAAAAGATCCATCGGCTAGGGTAATTTTGTCATGTCCAGGAAGTAAATCATATGAAACAAACAAAGTGGAAAGGCCGGTCATATGATCAGAAGCACCAGAATCAATAATCCAAGGGATCCTACGATTACCTGAAATGGTTGCATGATTGGCAGAAGCCCGTGTACCTGACGGAGCAAATGCAGAAGAGGTTGAATTTCATGGAGGGTTGGAAGAAGAAGTCACACCCTCTAGGTGACTGATCATCCTCCCAAACTTCTCATATTCTGCCTTCATAGCTGCTAGCTGCTCACTAGTTGTCATCTCTTCAGTTTGGTATCTGTCACTATCTGGACCAGCAGCAACATTGGCACTCCCTACCTTCATATTATCAGACTTCTTCTGAAACCGAAGTGGTAGAAGCTCAGGATGCAATTTCCAGCACTTGTCTTTAATGTGTTTTGGCTTTTTACAATACTCACAGATAATCTCTTTTTCCCTGAGCTACTTGGAGTCCCTGCAACCCCCTTGGGTTTCACTCCCATATTAGCAAAGTGATCATTTAGACCAGCCCCTTGGACCTAGACAAGCCTTCTGATTTCTTCACTACTTACCAAGGCATATGCTTGAGACAGTGAGATACTATCCTTGGATAAAATATTTTGCTCTGTAGTGTCGTACTCTAGATTTAGCCCTGTCAAGAACTCAAACACCATGTTTCTCTCAACCAGTTTTTGTAGGTCTCAGCATCATTAGTGGTGTCCCAGGCTACAGCTTCTATCAAATCTATTTCTTGCCATAAAGACTTCAGTGTTGAGAAGTATACAGCTAATAGTTTCTCCTCCTGTCTCAAATTCTTCACATCACTTCTCAACTTGTAAATCCTGGCCACATTTAATTTTTGGGAATAGGTTTCAGCAACACTATCCCAAATTTCCTTTGCTAAATTCATCTACAAATAGTGCTAACTAATTTGTGATTGCATTAAGTTCACAAGCCATCCAATAACAGTATAATTTTCTTACATCCACTTTTCATATGATAGATCATCTTTCGGATGAGTCTTTTTGCTCCCTGAGATAAAACCCCATTTGCTTCTACTACAAATATGATTTTTTACTGATTGTGACCAACCCAGATAATTAGTTCCATCCAGCTTGACTGTGGTCAGGAGTAGAGAGTCTACAGAGGCTCCCGAAACCTGTCTGGATTCAGCAACATGCTTGTTTTCAAAGTCTGAGGAGTTCATCTTCTTAAATACTTCAAAAATGACTTCAAACAACAGCAAATGAAGACAGAACAAAAATTGTGTTGTGAGCCAACCTCTATGCAGTCATACCAGTAACCTGCATCACACCCGGAAGACGAGAGAAACAGAGAAAGCTCAGCTGCTCCTTGTAGACTTCACAGAACACCAATCCACTTGATTCGATCTTCAAGAAGAATGAGAAGGCCTTCAGTCATTGAGCGCCTAGGTCAAAATCCCTGTGGGGCCCGCAATCAGATTTCTCTAGAAAATTAGGGTTTCAAGCAACACACTTGAATCTGTCAAGAGGACGACAAAACCAGTCCCCTTCTCTCCAGAAACCACTAACAACTGGGCTGAAATAGGTTCCTTAACTATTCATACGATTCAATTCTCCATACACACTATGTATGGGAAAAGAAAATGTGAAAATGAGGGAAAAACGAGCCTGCTCTGATACCAAGAAGAAAAACAGCCTTTTGAAAAGAAAGGATTGTTTAGAAAGTTGCAAAAATTCAAAAGAAATTAGCAGAAATCAGAGTTCAAGAGGRGAGAAGAAGAAGAAGAAGGTGGCGGCAACTTGGGTTCAGAGAGATTTTTCGAACATAACCTCTTCTCTTACTCCCTTAATTCTATTTCATTAAGTTAAACTTTAATAATTTATAAAGAGGCCCCTAGTTAGGCAAAAAATTAAAAAGACATAACATAAGAAAGAATAAAGCCCAGATTAAGGCCCATTACAGCAAAGAACATAAAAGATAAAAAGGATAAACAGCCTATGGGCCATTCAGCCCATCTTCTCTACAACCTCCAAATAGAAAATTCAATGTTGAATGAATCACTTACACAAAAATCAGAAAGAAGAAGCATAGGTACATAGATAAGTGAAGCAAATCACGTATAAGCTCCAAGTAAAAGGTGTAAACTGCTTTTCTCTCCCATTGTCCTTCCATCAGCATGTCGCTAATATAGAAAATATATTTTACAAATGTTGACACTATAGTTGTAGCTAGTATCATGTACCTGAAACACAATAATCAAGGTCGTTATTTAAAGCTAAAAAATGAATAAAACAAGCAGAACATTTCTACTATGATTGTAATGCTTTAGGAAATTAATATTTGAGGAAATATCAGGAGTTTTTCTTGTAAGCTCTATATATACCAATGTAACACTAACACCTCTTGTCCAATACTCAGTTGCATCTCACCATTGAATGTACAGAATCACACCACACATTCACATACTTACAAAGAGAAATGAATTCTCGATTCATTCTTTGCCCAACACTCTAGACTAGTATTGCACAAGATTAGAGATGAGAGTTAAGACTCCTCAAGGGTTTTGGGCAAAGCTCTCTCTAGTTTTATATTGCTTTTCTTTTATTTTAATATAATTTTTATGTTAGCATAAAAAATCATATCTTTATCTTTGTTTGTGTGTACTTTTCTATTTCCCCAAATTCAATACATCCTTTTTTGAGAGACAGCAATGTATTTGCATTGATATAAACAAAAAAAGGGGATGTTGATCAGGAAAAAAAAAAGGAAACCCTAGTATACAGTCAGTGACTGTACAACATGAATACAAGGGCTCCTAAAAAACAAGGAGCCCATCCCCAAATCAGCCCATCAAGCACTCAATAGAATACAAATTATTAAAGAAAACATCCATGAACAGGCTAGAAGAAGATAACCACAAAAACAACTACCCATCAGCCCCCCTAATGACTTCATCCACAGTGGTCCAGGATTCCTTAAAATTCTAGTGTTCCTTTCAAACCATACAATCCAGACAGCCACAGCAGAAATTGACTTCCAAAAAGCTTTTCATCTCTTACCAAGGCCTTCAATTACCCACCCCCCAAAGGTCTCGTTAAGAGATTTGGGAAACACCTAACTAATACCAAGGACCTTTGAGAAAAAATACCACACTTCCCTGCTCAAAAGGCAATGGATAAATAGGTGATCAAATATTTCCAGGTTACAGAGTGCAATCAATATTCTGAATTGGCATACCTTTTCTGCTCTGATGAACCTTAGTTAGGCACTTGTTATGTGCAGCCACCCACATTAAAAATGCCACCTTCATTGGCACCAAATAGTTCCAAACAATATTACATGAAAAAGGATTCTGCAATTGAGTTAAGATCCTTGGACATGATTTAACAGTAAGCCTTGTCACCCTTCCTCCACTTCCACACCCCTGATTCCTCCATTTTTGGACATAATTGTGTTCAGGAGAGATGCCACTTCCCCCAGTTCCCAGTCCTCGAAATTCCTCCTGATGATGGTGTCCAAACCACATTTCCCCCACTTGCTCATAACAATAAGATATGTGCCCCCCTTTACCTGCTGCAATCTCAAAAAGGGCAGGATCATTTTCAATGCATCTTAATCCTATTTTTAGTCTACCTTTTACTTCTAAATCATTAATCTCTTTTGTTGACAAATCAGTCCAGCCCTTCCTTTCTTATGATCCTCAAAACCTACCTTTTAAGTTCCCACTTGAGCCCTTAATTCTTAGTTTTGATTGTTCAGCTTCTCTGAGTGTTTGCCCTACATCGGGTCCCTTTTCATCACCTTTTAACATGTTTTCTTTATTCACTTCTAATTTCAACCTGAGGGCAACATTATCACACACAAGTTCAGTTTCATGGCTAGTATACCACATAAGTAATCAGGGCAAATATACCTAACCTATTTGAAAGCACCGGTTATCTTTTTATCATGTTTTTTTTAATTCTTTTTCACTTTCAAACCAGGGGCTTTACAACAACACGACACCTAATTTTCATTTCATAGTAAACAACCACTTATTTTAAATTAATTAGCAAAGGAAAATCCAGTAAAGCCCTTAAACCCTTTTCAAACACGTTTTGGTCCTGAGTAGGAAATATTCAAACATATCATCAAGTTGTTAATCCTTGAATAATTTTCATTTCAACCATTCAAAATTAACTAACAGATGGGATATCTGAAGCTTTCTCAAATAATAAATTTATTTCTGCATTTTTTATCAGTAGGTTTTGTTAGTTAAACAAAAGAATAGTGTACAATGAATATACAAAGAAACATGCCAAACCACCCCATATAATCTAACCCATGTGTCCTATTTGTACTACAAAATTCAAGTTACACCTCTTTCCCCTTGAAAGTTTCCCCCAAAATAATTGGATCCTATTCACTCCTTGAGTAGCCAGGGTTTCAGCCATTGCGTTGGCTGATCTGACTCTAGTCCCCTTGTCAGTTTTGCTATTCTCTTATTGTTTGCCTATGGATCCAAGGACCTATGCTGTTATGAACAAGCCAGCCCAATACAACTTTAGAATCTCTTTCAACCTTAAAATTCCTGAAGTTATAAAGATTTTCCCAGTCTAAGTGCATGTAGAACACATCCAGAAATTCCACCCCTATAGAGTCCCCATAGCCAATGGGACTCAAGAACAAAGATATTACATTCTCATCATGGTCCCTAAAAACTCCTCCAACATCTGAAGCTCCTCAGTTGCCCAAACATCACCCATCATTATTTAATAAATTTCATGATCTTACCTTCTTGAGGTAAATTTGCTTATGCACATTTACCTTTTAATTATTTATTTTCTACCAATTTTTTCACATATATAGGATATTTGAATATGCATTGAATATATAATTTCCATGCATAGAAATGCATGTGTACATGAGGCCAAGGTCTTAAACTGGACCTTAATTCCTCATGGAAGTGGAACAAATTCATGGATGTTTTTGGATGGAATATTATGCTACTTCTAGCCAATAAAATTTTCCTTGGGCTTCCAAAAGCATCCATGAATTTGTTCCATACCCCTTATTTAGTAGACAGGAATAGATAGCCAAGTCAAGTCCATAGGCAATTCTTTAAAATATGCTGCCTATTGCATGTATACAAAAAAGACTTGAGGCATGTATAGGGGAAAAGTGCAAATAACCATTGCAGTGCACGTAAGTTTTTTTAAGATAAAAACTGAAAATGACAAAATAGTTGGAGACAGATACTCTTAATGTACAATCAATAGCAAGAAACATTTTAATCACGAGTATATAAATAATAAGAAATGCATAAGCATAAGCCACTTACTCAAATGAAAAGAAAATAGAAACAGAAGCCTGCCATGTCTGTATCAAATGTTTCAAATAACTGTACAAGAAGAGACTATCCAAGATAAGAAGGAAACCCATGAAAGACACAATCCGGATATGAGACAACATGGGAACAGATGGAGTCGTCTCAATGTACTCAACCCTCTTCTGAGCCAACCAATGCAAAGCTTTAATTAACAGGAGAGCAGTTACCATTGCAAGAAACATAACAGAGAAATCTTGTCGGAATATTGTAATCACAAAAAGGATTTCCATGATCTCCCTCCATGACTGTTCATTCAATCTCTCAACTTCTGCTTCTCTGAGGGACCCAAGGAACAAGCGCTTAATTAACTGCCACAAAATGCACATGATGACCAGACCCATATTTAAAAGAAGCACCAAACTGATCTTGGATGTGGACAGATACACCATAGCTGGGTAAAATTGACCTCTACTGCTGAAGGCATGATAAATTATAGCAAGTGTGCCCACTAAACTAAGCCCGGCATAAGTTTGCAGCCTCATCATCACTTATATGAGCTGTTTCAGCACATCATTTAGAAGAACACAAATCAGACCCATATCCAAATTGAAAGTAAGTTCCAATAACTTATGGGACAACAGAAAACCATTTGGCATGTACACATTTGTATTTTATATAAAGCAGAAAATCATCATCTATAATGAAATTGGCACAGATTCTAATATTATTTCAAAAGATTCATCAAATGAATTTCACTTGGATATTGTTGTGTTATAGGCAATACAGGCAAAGGGGTTGATGATTTTGGCATTAGCCAGATAAAAGCAGAAGATGGTTGGAGAATACCACCCCTGCGTGAATAAGATAAATCACTGGACTGGAGGTCTGTTACTAGTGGATTTGTTTGAAAGTCATCCTTTTTGCAGGATGGGACGGTTATTTATATGGTTCACCTCTGCAGGGTGCTTTCTTGAGTTAAGTGTGTTTGCTTCTGTCACCTGCCTATGATTTGGTGCGCTTTCCTTCTTTCAGGTGCAGACAGGGCTGTGGAACTACTTTTCTCCTTCTGAGGGAGTTTTTTCCTTCCTTTATGCTTATCTTACCCTTTACCTTTCATTGGTAATATAAATTTTATCTCTCGTTACCTATAAAAAAAAATAATTCCAACAATATTCCACCTTATATATGAATCTGCGCCTCTGTGGGTTAGAATGCCAATGAAAAAATAGATGAAATGATCCTCAATCTACAGCTAGGCAACTTCTAAATGCCAACTTAAACTTCTCTTCTCCTAAATTTTATAAGAAMAGGCACAAAAAAATAAGATAAATATAAAAAATAAAATAAAACTATATAGAACAGACTCTATCTTCTAAACCTACGAAATCTAAAAACTATATTCAATAGGGGAAAAGGCTAAAGAAAAACATTAAGCTCCTTTTTTTCTGATTCTCGACGCCAGAGAGGACCAGCTCTAGAGACAGCAAAAATAGGAGAGTCGAACTACAAAACATCCAAGTATTGAAACTGCCAACAATAGATTCAATCGGAACAAGTTTAAAAAATAGATAAGCTCCACAAAAAATTGACCCTAATAGAGTGTAACTCCCAAATTACTAATACGCAGTTCAAAAAATGCACTGATGAAACAAATATGATAGATTTGGGAAAATTGATTCTACGCAAAAAGAAAAAGAGGGAAGTTAAATACTGTGATAGGTCGAATTTCACGAGAAATACTGCAAGCTTGGAGGTGGAAGGTTTCTTAAAGGAGTCCCTGAAGAAAACATCGTTTCAGAAAACCCTAATTGAGACTGCAAAATTCAATTTGCACTGGAAGAAGGAGCCCTAATGACAAGACCAAGGCTCGATCGAATACCGCGACTTCTTATCCGAAGAAAAATTAATAATTTTGAGATCAAACCCAACAGAAAAAAACCCTAAATTCTGCTTTACTACAGATTAACGATTTGCAAATAATAAGTCGAATTAATTCGAGAATCAAGAATACTTACTAGATATTCGTACCTGGAAGTCTGGAACAGTCGAGCAGAAATCGAATTAGAGTAGAATTTCGTCGACCGAGTCGACGCGGAAAACACGCAAACGTGAAAAACCGAGTCCCGGTCTCTCGTGAACAACCGATGTCAGACACGCTGTCTAACCTATCAGAAAAAGACACTTGTCCATTCTTTAGAGGTGGCGGCCACGTAGTAACATTCGTAATTAGCGGAAGACGTTTAGGTGGGGTTTGATGAATCTGAAGAAAATTCAGATATGAAAAGTCAATCTAAAATTTATTGATTTTACCATCTAAAATTTATTGATTTTACTATTTTACCTCTATAACATATTATTTGGAAATGTGGAGTTCAATTTACATTATCTCATAAAAAATAATTTTCAACCTCAAAATAATATTGAAACAATACAAATAATAAATTATTAATTATTAATTAATAAATAAAATTATTAAAATTAAAAAAAAATAATTAATGACTATAAAAATATTAAAATAATTAATGATTACTAATTAATAATTTACACAAATAAAAATTAAAATATTTTTTTAAAAATAATGAAATAAATAATAAATAACACGAGTAAATTTAATAATAAATAATTAATGTTTAATAAAAAATAATAAAAATTTGCGGTGGAAGACAGGGAGAGAGATAAGGGGAGGGAGGGAGGAGAGAGAGAGAAGACAGGGGGAGAGAGCCACCGCTGCTGGTTGCAACGATGATGGCAGTGGTGGGAGAGAGAGAGAAAGAGAGAGAGTCGCTGCAAGTTGCAGCAGCAGTGGCGGTAAGACTGGGCTGAGACAGAAAGTGAGAGAACCGTTGCGGCATTGGTTCTTCTCTCTCTTTCTCTCTCTCTCTCTCTCTTGTAGCGGCAATGGCGGTTGAAAGACAGGGCGGAGAGAGAGAGAAAGAGAGAGAGAGAGAATGCAACGGTGGTGGTGGTTGTGGAGCTTCGTTAGTTCACAGTGAGGGTTCAATTCGATTTACATGAAGGACAAAAATATGTAATATTAAAATTTCTTTGAGAGTATTTATGTCATTTATGCACCCCTAAATTGGGTCTGAGCGCATTAAGCAACTTCTCCAACTCTTATAAATTAAGATATAAAATCCAATTTCAAATTTGTAATAAGAGGTAAAACCAAACAAAACAAGGTGTCTGAAAAGCAAACTTTTTAGAATCAGACATCTAAAAAGTGCAATCAAACGCCACCTTACATAGGGAGGACAACACTATCGGACCTCACTAGTTTAGGACTGTTAGATTGGAAGTTTTCATGTGAGAAATTGATAGCTTTGTTGGTTCTGTACAAACTAACAACTAAGGTTATAATTGCAGGGGTGATCATGGGTCAGGCCGGGCTTAGCACCCACAAACTACAGCCTAGGCTCGGGCCCATGTCAAGCTAGGGCGAGCTTTGGTCCCAAGTCATTAATTAAAGTTTTGTCTAATGTATATTATAATATTTATTATATAAGATATAATATATTTTTGATATGTGTATAAGATACAATATATGATATATTGTATATTATGCGTGTCATTTTAATTTTATAATATAACATTATATATATATATATATATATATATATAATAAGACGGTCCACGTCACCTTGCTTCTCCTTGCTCCATTACCCCAATCCTTCATTTTCCATGTCACCTTGATATATTTTATATTAATTTATTATAATTACATTTATTTTGATTAATAGTAAAAAAATTAGGCTTAAAAAAGTAAATAATTAATTTACTATACATTACTACTAATCAATAGCAGTTTTAATACTCTTTTGGAAATTATCATACAATATTATAATTTACTGTTATTTAATTTACTCTTAATTGATTAGTTATAGAAAATTATTAGAATTGTATGAATGGCAAAATTTGTTAAGAACTGTCCCTTGACTCTTGCAAAATTTATTTAGAACATTCCCTTGACTCTCTCTCTCTCTCTCTAAGTGCTCCCAATCATCATTATAGGTTCCATTTTTTTAAATATATTGAGGTCTAATTTGAATTCATGATTTGGCCGCAATAAGATGTAGCTAATGTTTGGATCTTTATTCAACCATGTTTTAGGATAAGAAGTTGGAAAATAATAATTCTCTAAGCATGATGTTTAATTAATATGTGAACAAACCGGTTCAATAAACCAAATTGTTATATATATATATATATAGCCATTTCAGTAGATTTTTGTGTCTTTACCTGTATCTCATGTGAATTGGGGATTTCACCCGAATCCTCTATTGGCTCCATACATTTTCGGTGATGGGTAACCTGTAATTATATATTTATAGGTACAAGAGCTGACATTTGGGCAAAACAAGTAATATCCAATGGTCTAAATTGTATATTCATCATGGATAATCTGAACTCATGGTTAGATCAATTTGGAATTGGAATTGGAATTAGAATTGGAATGGTCTATTTCTATAGTCTGTTTGACTCAAGAAGTAAATTGGAATAAGTTGAAAATGGGATTCCATTCCCATGGGAGGGGAGGAAATGGCTATTCCCTCAAATGGATAAATGTCATTCCACTAGGAATGGAAATGAGATTCCAATTCCACCCAACCAAACAGTTGGAATCGGAATGACCCATTTTGGTTTCAATTCCAGACCCTTAATCCCATGAACCAAATGGGCCGTAAATTTTATTTCTATATGGTGTGTTATGAATGAAAAAAGTTGACATAACTTGAACCTATGACTCTACTAAACAAATAACACTCAAACCAATTGCAATCCATATTTGTTCTACAAATACAATGGATACGGTTGGATTGGATGCATATTCAATCCAATTATAAATATATCAAGTTTAGATCACCCTTAATTGGATTGTATTCAAATTCATGTTTGGACGAAATAGACACTCGTTTACAACAATATTTCATGGGTTTCGTGAGTTTATGACCAATTGGAAATTAGATATAAGACGAAAAACAGTACCCAATGAACATATATGTTAATGCTATTTGGTTGGATTCTATATTTAATATAGTATCATACAACAATATGCACATAATAGTTTATGAAAGGGCTACAAAGATATTTCTAGTGTCAAGGCTCACCCAAGAATCAAGTTTTACACACATATCTGTCCATAGTTTTAGGACAATGTAATTCATATTAAACACAAAAATACAGACACAAGATAATATACAACTCATTCCACTAAGATTGTAAACCAATTGCAAGGCTACTATGTCATTGATAGGAAGAGAATATAATGCTAATCAAAATTTTACCATCTCAGCATTCAAGTAGGGGCAACCCGTCATATGTCGATTCCCACATCATTCAATCATGGAGTAGGAACAACATGTTTAGTTATGCCATGSTCTTCTCTACTAATAATGAATTGACTGCAACAGAAGGATATAGGTATCAGTGGTGAAACTGAATTAAGGGACATGGTTTATAGTTTGGGAAGGGTGGGCCTTGGTGTAAAATTTGAGTTACTTCATTGCGATGTGGGTGATCAAGGTTCAAATCTTGAAAACAACCTCTTTGTATGTAATCTCACATTGGCAAGAGCCTTGTGCACTAGCATATAACTTGCAAAGTCGCAATTGAATGAAGATTTAGAGGTGTAAATATGTTTTAGATGCATAACAGATGATAAGAAGATTAACAAGCATAAATGGATTATTTCTTGAATCGTCAAATACTGATAGAACAACATTTTTTAATCAAGTTCTTTTTTTTTCAACACGTTCGTTTTAGTTATGTAAATAGGAATATGAATGTAGTAACATATATGCATTTTTTGTCTATTAACAAAAGTGTCTTGATAATAATGTAACTAAGAACTCAGAATTATGGACTTCTAAATTCTATTGTCTTTTAACGAAGGTTTTGTTTTTTGCCTATATATATACATATATATATATATATATATATATATAATTCAAGTGTTGAGGACATGCAACATAAAACTTTGTTGTGCTTAGTAGTGGTTTGTTATTTAGGCTCAGTTTGGAAGGAAGACAAATGCAAATATGTAGAGTGCAAAATCTCGAGTTTTTGTATTAATGTGTATGTATTTACATTTGCACTATTTCCAAAGTGAGCCCCTCTCTCTCTCCCTCTCTCAAGAATATTCATTGAATCATATATTTAAGTCATTTTTTTTTCTTCTCATCATTAAGTTCTATTAATTAAATTCATACTTAATAAATGAATAATTATAATAACATTAAAGCTTTTACTTTTAAAATATACCTAGCAAAAATAGTGTTTTCATCTAAGTAGTGGTAAGAAATTAAATCATTTAGGGTCAAATGGGTTAATCCATGTTGCCACAATTAAATAATAAAATTAAAAAATAGATAAAATAAAAAAAATAGAAATTAAAAAATTTGGAAACATTTTTAACATACATATTAAACAATAATAAGTATGATAATTAAGAAATGTTTTACTAATGATGAAATTGGAATATAAATTTTAAAGCCAATTGGAAATAAAAATATTTTCCTATTCTCTCTCATTAAATCCTATATTTAAGATATATTTTTCTTGTCATTAAAATATTGTACTTAAATTCACAATATTAATTTTAATAGTATAAAAATAAATATTTTGAAAAGTAAATTGAAAACAAAACCATTTTCTTCCCTCCCAGTGGTGGGTAAAAGCAATTCGACCATTTGGGGTCAAATGGATTAATAAATAATGTCATAATTAAATAATAAAAGTTAAAACAAATAACTATGAAATGTAAGAAGTATTTTTATTAATGATGAAAATGGAATGCCAAATTCAAAATATACCTAGAAATTAAATGATGTCATAGTCAAATAATAAAATTTTTAATAATAGAAAATACAAAGAATCACAAAAATAAAAAAAAAAGATAGAGAAAATTTTGGGCACATATCTAATGTTATATATTTATAAAAAATAAAATATTGGGTACATCTCTAATATT